CACCATCGAGTCGCAACCCGCAAAAAGGGGTTCGCTCTCTCCTGTCCTCGACAGACGTCCTCGTACTTCATTAGCACTAATCCAGCTGCCTAATAAAACGGTCACGGTCTGACACTGCGCCACCACCACACCTGTCTATGACCTTACCAGTCTTTTTTTTTATTATTATTATTATTTGCTACCAACCTTTTCTACCTCAATCGACCACCTATTGCTTCTTATCACAGTACACCTCATTCCCTATAATCACAGCATAACGACCCTATTAATCCGTCTGATTACTGAGATCGACTCCACAGAGCTTAGAAACCCTTCTAACCTCTCCATTCCTTGGGGGGGACATCTCTGATAATTTAAAACACCAGTCATTCTACCATGTCCTTGCATATGTCCCACCACCTTGTACCCTGTACCAAACTTATAACTACTGTATAACATGATGTACTGTTAAGAGCCAAATAAAATACGGACTGTATGTCAGACAGACAGAGAAAAACAAGGAGATACTACGATTATAGGACCTTGGTCATAACCGACGAGGACTCCCGCTGATGGTGAATGACTATTTATTTCTGGCCCTGTTGGAGGCTTATATATCTATGCCGAATGTAAGATTTGGGTTTCTGCGGATGCAACAAGGTGGTGGATTGGAAGAGATCATTGTACACTGGCAACGCCCTGTCATCTTCTACATCTTTTAGACTTTGTTGGACTTCTATCTCAATCTCTTGCTTTAGCTCAACTCTTAATCTATTACAGAGTTTTATTTATTTATCCTCAGTTTGTACAAAGTACATTACATAAGATTATGTAATGTCACATGTAAATCATGCATGTAATTATTTATATATGTGTTTCAATTATACAACATGAAAATCTTGTTATATTAATACAATATGAATTTGTTGGTTCAAATTACCATATATATATACCTTTATAAAAATCGATTCAGTAGAGTGGATGTTTGCTCAAAAATATTTTTATCAGTTAAAAAAACCGAGCGAAGCGGGGTATATCCACTAGTGTTCAATAAATGAAATTATTAAACGCAATAAATTTTTCACCAATCAATATTTTGGTGTTTTCATTTAGGTTATAAATGTGTTTTATTTGAAAAAAAATCGTGCTTCAATGGTTCCATTTCTTGAACCAAAAGTTGGGCATTATTGCCTCAATACAAATTATAAATTGCCTTGTTTAATGTATGCATAACTGCCCTTTTTTTAATTGTTTGCGGAAGAGTAATGCTCGATGTGAATATATCTGCACATAATTGTAATGTTCTAAGATCTTATGTGCTTATATATTTTGATTGGAAACCATAACCAGGATTCAATCTTGCAGTATCAGAAAAAAACTTAAATAGAATTGTACAATACATTAATAGAGAGAGCTCTGAAAAGCGGTATGGTAGATTAAACTAGTGAAATCGCTAAAGGATTCACCTCTGATGAGCCAGGCTACCTTATATTTTTCAACATATAGTACAAAGTGTGTTTTTTTTATGAAACACGAGTGCCTTAATAATTCTAATTCCTGAAAATATTATTTATATTATAGAAATTAGTTTCCAGAATCTAAATTCAGATAATCTTCTTTCATTTACATAAAGTTATAGTTACTACTGAGGGATTTTCGGTAATTGTAACCATTACTGGAACTTGACATTCAAAATGAACTTTAATTTAATAAAACCAATATATGAAATATATATTATTTTGAAATTATAAATTATCATTTCATTTATTTCATTGATCAATCTTTTTTTATTACGGAATTATTCAATTGGCGATTTGAAATCTCAAAATTTTGTCAATCAGATTTGAAGCTTCAAGAGCATCATTCAGCGAGAATCTTATATCCGAAGCATCAATGTTTCATAAAATGTGCTTCACGTTCAGAGATCTATTGCAAGAGATGCTATGCTGCAGAATTTCATCCAGTGTCCCAGTGTATTTTTATCATTAAATTCTTATTCAAGTGATCGGAGCTTTGTGGCATAGGCGACAGCCAGCGATTTCTTCTTTGTATTTAGGAGTTCTTTGATATAGAGATCAACCGTTTTGTAACCCCAAGGAGAATCCTCTGTAAGACCTGTGTGTCTTAATAAAGGCTTTTGTGTGATATAGAGATCAAGATGTTAGCGTCTCGAATTTGGAAATCATTCACTAATAGTATAGATCATCGGGTTTGTTGAGGAAGGTCTTCTTTCTGGAGAATCCAGTTAGTTGAGTCGGTTCTATAGAGGCGGGAATTTATGAAGAAAAAAAGAGAGATTTCAGAAGAGTGCTGTTAGAGTGAGGTTAGAAAGGCTGGTAGCGATTATGAAAAGGAGAAGAAGCTGGAATAATTCAAATAGGTTGGTTATCTGTAGATGTGCATGTTGGTGGAGCGTATGTGAAGTTGATGCTGATGTATATATAATTATGTACGTGGTGATGAAATGTGTGTAGAGTTGGGGTCGATGCATATGTAATCATGACGATGGAATGTGTATATGTATATATAATTATGCACATGGAATGTGTGTAGAGTTGTTGTCAATATATATGAAATTGTGGCGATGAAATGTGTGTATGTCTATGTTATTATGCAGATGGAATTTGTATAGAGTTGGTGACGATGTATATGTAATTATGAAGATGGAATGTGAGCAGAGTTGGTGTTGATTTAGAAATGTAGATTCTTGATGTATATATAGATATTGTCGAGAAATTCTGAATATAATTCTTGCAGTGATTAAGGGATGATAATTTTTGCTGAATCCTCATCATCATCATCTTCCTCCATATATGATCCATTACTACATTTGCATATCCCGGAGCAGCAAATCAAATGTGATGGTCTCCGAGTGTATGGAACTGGTGTAGTACGCGAGAGCCTGAAGACGCTGGACTTATTTGTAGAGCCGCGATGTGGTAGATTCAGAGATAGAGAATGTAGACGTCCCGGCCTTGTGGCAGCTGTGCTTAGCTTCGATGTAGCCACGAAGCAGTGGCGCTGTCTCTAATGTAGCACCAGACTTGTTTGCATAGGAACTCCCCAGCTAGTTCCTCGCCCAGTGGAGGTCAGCGGTTACTCAGGTAGAAGGAGCCGGATTGGATAATGTAGACGTCAAGTGGCAGCTGTGCTCAGCTTAATGTAGCCACGGGGCAGTAGCGCTGTCCCTGATGTAGGGCCGGGCCTGTTTTGTATAGGAGCCCCCCAACTTGCTCCTCGCCTGGCGGGAAATCAGCGGTTTCTGCGCTAGTTAATTGTTTGGTTACCAGGACATCAGAATTTATTGAATAGACGCCATGTGTGTGTGTTTTAAGAGAAAAAAGAATAAATTTAAATTAACACTGAAGGCTCTATAACACCATTACTGAGGTTTCTTAGTTTAAGATGGCTTGTAAAAAATGAGAAGGATAGAAGAAAAATAAATTGACCATTCTAAACTAATCTTAGATAAACCATCACTCTTACAGCCACAAGATATCCCAATATTAATAAAATCTCAAATCAATGAACAATTTTGTTTAGACGAAAAGACGAAATAAAAGAAGAAGAGTTTCTTTTAATAGAAATATATCAAACAAGCTTTTGGGCAAAAAACCCTTCTACAGGCGTGTTTACAGCATCAAACTTGGCACTATAATGCAGGTACAATGGCTAAAAAGAGAATATATACATATAACTATTTACATATTTGCGGAATAAATTATGAAAATGAGTATTTGCATTAGTTATGACTATTTTATAATTAGAGAGATATTAAGTATATAAATAAATAAATAAGGAATTTTTATGCTTGGAGTTTGAAACTATTGGGGAATATGCCAATGTAAACACCCGCTCACGCGACCACATGAAAAAACCAAGTAATATTAATTTCTAGCTATCTTGTTGAGGTTATTACTGCAAGGCCAGGAGAGCACGATATGCATCTGGAAGTTCTATTTTTCGGTTAATGCTCTTATGTCTGTGGGATTCTATTGACTCGAGAACTAATCGTTGGTGCTGGTTATGAATGTGTCTGTAATGTATAGTGGGGTGGTTGGTGTTAAAAGGATGGCCAGTATTGAGAGTGTGCTGATAAAGGAGGGACCTGGTGTCATGATTGGAGATGTTTCGAGAATGTTCAGACATTCTGTTGGCGCGGTCTACTCTGTCTCGTGTGAGCAATGCTCTGCCACATACGTTGGCGAGACAGGTAGATCCGTTTTGGACTTGTCGATCCTTTAACAGGGGTATCACTTTATTAAATTGATGATAAATACAATTTTTATATTCAAACTATTATTTACATATTTTAAATTTTCATGATATTGAAAGGGAGAGAAAATATATATTAAATTCTTTGTGTGTTAAAAACAAATTTTGAAAATATATGTGCATGGTGGATGATGCGTGCTGGTTGAACAATATCTCAAGATTTCAAATTAAATTTAATAAATTCGTGAACTATTGTGGTATATATTGAAGACTGCCTACATCTATGGGGTAGTATTTATCCATATTGTTTCGTATGTTTCTGATATTTCAATGCATCTGTTTATGCTTTTTGCCTTTTGGTTATCATAGATTCTATTAAAAGTCTTTGGTATTTACTATGGATATTGTCATAATATATTATGGGTTGAGATAAGTTAAATGTATGGCCTGTTTCTTTTATGTGTTGAACTATTAAAGATCTTGGGTCACTCTCTATTGTTAATATTCCTATTATGTTCAGCTATTCTATCATGGCTTTTCTCTCACACTCCCCTACATATTTAGAATTACAGTTATCACATGATATGGAGTATATGGCTTCTTTTCTATTGAATGGAATATTGGATTGATTCTTTGTTAATGGGTTTCTAATCATATTGCCTAAATTTGGAGAATTATTGTACATAGTTTTGATACCATATTTTATAAGTGGGTATTGATTGAAGGGAATATGGGGTGATGCATAATCTACTTATATATTTGCCTTATTCTGTCTGTCTGAAGCTCACGGATGGGATTTTTCATAACCATCGGTGGTTCAGTGGTAGAATGCTCGCCTGCCACGCGGGCAGATTCGACTTCGACAGGTTCGGGCAGATTCGACAGGTTCGATTCCCGGCCGATGCATTTTTTTTTTTTACAAATTTTAAAACTCATTTATATATTATACAAGAATGACATCCACGGCGCCAATTTATAATTGTAACGAATAGTATTTGAATAAAAGCATTTAATCGGGTAAAACCCGGGCGTTGCCCGGGTCATTCGTATCTACTTATATATTTGCCTTATTCTGTCTGTTTGTTTGTCTGTCTGAAGCTCACGGATGGGATTTTTCATAACCATCGGTGGTTCAGTGGTAGAATGCTCGCCTGCCACGCGGGCGGCCCGGGTTCGATTCCCGGCCGATGCATTTTTTTTTTTTTTTAACATTTTTAAAACTCATTTATATATTATACAAGAATGACATCCACGGCGCCAATTTATAATTGTAACGAATAGTATTTGAATAAAAGCATTTAATCGGGTAAAACCCGGGCGTTGCCCGGGTCATTCGTATATAATAATTGTATAAACGAATGCAAGACAAAATCACCGCGAATGTTTCTTTTTTTTAAGGCAATTTCTTTTTAAGGCAATTATCGTTATTTATCGTTAATTTTTGTTTCGATTTTATTGAAAAAAAACGATATGGTGCCTTTAAAAAATGATCTTTATTACTATGCAGTTTTCTATTTAGTCAATATACCTAAGTTCATGTTGCAAATGTAATTATCTCTATCGATTTAGTAGGTGAAATGCAAAAAAAAAATCGACATGATGAAATCTTTATGAAAATTCACATTTTTATTTTTATATTTTCAAGACACACACAGTTTGGGGCGGGACGTTTCACAAGAGAGACATCCACGGCGCCAATTTATAATTGTAACAAATAGTATTTTAATTAAAACATTTTAAAAACACACAGTTTGGAACGGGACGTTTCACAAGAGTGACATCCATGGCGCCAATTTATAATTGTAACGAATAGTATTTGAATTAAAACGTTTTTAAAATATATACGCACTCGGGTAAAACCCGGGCGTTGCCCGGGCCATTCGTCTAGTATTCTATAAATTTCTGCCTTTTGAGTTATTGATTTGGTATTTTCTGCAGTCTGATGAAAATGGCGTAGGATGAAGGATTTTGGGTAACCTGATGATGATAAGTTTGAAATAATAATTTGCGTTTCTTCTGTTTTTAATTGAATTAAAGAACAATGTGTGAATATTCTTTTAGATAGTGTTTTTATGGTATTGATCTTATGGCTAAGAGGACATAATGAAGAATATTTAATGTAATTTGGGATAAAGGATGGTTTATAATATACGCCTGTATTTAATTTATCTTAGGAGATATATTAAATACAGGTACATATAGGTAATTTTAAAAATTCTAAAATTTAGATCATAGGTGATAAATTATGACCGCTATGAGATATTTATACTATTTTTGTCGCGCATGATTATTTTTAAATTTAACAATTTCCTACGGCCCTTACTGCGATAAGAAAATAATGGGAGGGCCTGGTTGATCAGTGATAAACCCTCCTAGGGTTTGCAACTTCAAATATTGCCTTAGGCTGCTTTGCCTCTATACTGATAATGAAGCTGACCTCTTGAAAGTATATTTTAAATGTTGTTCTCAAAGTAACGAGCATCCTTGTTTAACTTGTATAACTGAAAGTTCTGAAAATGATTCTTCTTCCTTAACCAGAGTATATATGAAAAAAATATTGAAAAAATTATTTGGATTTCAAATATTACTTAAATTAGGAATTGAAGTGGTTGGCATCATTAAATAAACACTTTTTATTTTTATAAAGAATGGAGACATTAAGACGCGAATGTTTTTTTTTTTTTTTTTGTCCTTACTCCGATGAAAAATATTGGGAGGGCTTGGTTCATCTGTGGTGAACCCTCTAAGCAGTTTCGCCAATTGAATCTACCAGACCGCTTCTTTAGAGCTCTAATACTGTATAGGATCATTCTGCTTTTATATGCTGCACTGAAGGTTGTCATCTTATAAATATTATTTAAGCAAACTATGGACATAAGCTTTTAGGACAGTAGAATTACATTTAAATAAACTAAATAAATAAATTTAATAAACTTCCTATTTTAATAACTACCAAATCTCATATTGGTAAAATATCTCTGTGAAAAATTGCTTCAATGGCCAAATACTTTTGCGCACAAGGCCAAACTCACTAGCAAATGCAAGTAGCAAAATAGGGCTCTGACATCTTGGAAAATTTTGAACTGCTTTATACATATTCATTGGTATTGATTTTATATTCCAGAATAAAAACTTTTATTCAATCCAATATAAACATTTTATTATTTACACATTCGAGAAATATACAGAGATCCTATACCTCAAGGTGCTAATGATTTGGCGTAATTTGGATTTGATTAAGTATCGGCAGGACCTGACTTGTGAAATGTTTGAAAAAGATAAACAATCAGACTCTCAAAATATCACGTTTATTTTTCTCCAAATAAATCTTTCAATCAAGTCCAAGCTATATCATATTATTTTTTGGATTAAAAAGTAGTCATTAACTTCTCACAATGGTCATAATGTCTGATTGACACAAGTATAAAAAAAAAATATTGTATTGTGTTGTGTGTGTTGGAATGCTATAAGTAAGCTTTGAAATTTATATGAAGTACTTTTGTATTTATTACTCTTGAATCTAAATTCTCAAAATGAATATTCAGCCGCTGGTTACTTTTCGAATAAATATGAAATTTGAATTTTATTGATGTTAGAGAAACACAAGATAATAAGACCAAATATTTTTTATTAATTTTTTTATTTGGGTTTGGTCTTATTACTTTGTGTATATAATCCATAACACAATGTGTGCCATATAAATGTTAGAGAAACATTTTAATTAATGCAGGATGAATGTTAAGAAATATCATTAGAATAAGGAATGAGTATTAAAACGATCCACTCCATCATATTTCCTATGTGTGGTGAACGTCCTTGATGATTTTCTAAATACGGTTTTCTTATTTTCAATCTACTATTCAATCATCTATTAAAAAATCGCACCAAATTAAGATATATTAATAAGAACAATTCGAATGAATTTCTTGACAATTCTATTAATATTTCTCAAGTTAGTTTCCTGAATGAATTTATTTCACAAATTGAATTTATTATTATATTGAGAAATATTTTGTTATAACCTATAAATTAGGTTTCCTGGGTCATGCCGCTCCAACAATGGGCACTTTAGATAAAATATTTTTACTCTAGGTAGGATGTCTAGGAGCCTGGCAGAGCTGATTCAATCGGACTCGGCCGAATAATGTCTAAAAAAGGGCGGAGACTGATTCGAGCGAGCCCGATGTTGGAGCTCTGTTAGAAGAGTGGTATAGGCCTCCTGGGGAACCCGCCACTATAAACAAAGGGTAACGCGCCAACGGCAGTACCTCCAGGGTGGTATGGAAATTATGCCTAAAATAATAAAAGAAATAATAAATGAATACTCACACAAATGAATAAACTTCAATAAATAAAATACATTAAAGCATATACAAAGTTTATGATAAAATATTTATTCCATATCTATAAAATATGTTCCTAGACATTAAACATGACCATTGTGGAATCAAACCTTTCAGTCAAATGTAACAACAACTTCTGGTATTTCTTTTGATATAAAAAACTGCTATGCATTATGATTTTCCAAGTTTGATATGTTTGATGAAAGTGAGATGAACTCTCTTCAGGTTTCACTGATTTGAGGGATGGTGTCATAACACTGGTTTGTGATTTTTTAGAAAACCTTTACTAAAGTCAAAATTTATGTTCTCAGTGTGGAAGTGCATATTAATGGCTCACAAATAAAATAATGTGTATACAATAAGATAGGCGCATTTTGGAACGTAATTAATGTTATTCCAATATTTCAAGTACCATTACGCTTTCTTTTCTCAACATAAAACTAATATATAGTCGCAAGGTTGTTGAAGATAAGTTGTATACAATAACTCTATGTAATTAACTCTAAGAATATTGCCACGACAGAATTAATTGCCTTGAAATAGCCCGAGTGGGTTCTCGATGAATTAATTAAGATACAAGATACACTCTTTTATTAAAAGTTTAATATTTTTGGTTTTAAATATTTTAGAAAAAAGGCAATCCAGCTGTGGGCCTTCGGACTCACGTGTTCATTGAATATTATCAGAAGCGGGAAAGCGAGGAACTCTCTCTTTTATAATTTGAAATACTTATTTAGTAGAAACTGTGTGTGTGGATAGAATAATAAGTTATCTGAGCAAACTGGTGGAAAATGAACCAAAGTGAATATCGGATAAAGAAATTTATCAGGAATATTTTATAAATAACAAAATATGATGCATTAGCACGCCATCCTCATGAAATTAGATCGAAAGAACATAATATGGTCAAAGGATCTTGACAAGTGCCTCATATCAAGAAAGAAAAATATCAAGCGCCAACTTGTTAGAAAGGACAAGTGCATGACTTGGGTTACCGAGGGAATGTAAGTAAAAACGACCCTTGAAAACCAGTATGGACTGTTTTCACCCCAATTGAAATGAGATGCATATTAGAGAAATAGAGTGTTTAGGAGAAGACATTACACCCACCTCAGGCTGGGATTCATCATTGAACCCTCCCTACGTTTTCGCGTCAAGGATGTCTCACACAACCAGTCAGAGCAGAAGTTCAGTACCGAGAGAAGACCCAATGAGCGAAAAAAAGCAACATTAAACATTCCTGGCAGAAGACGACCTTGGCTGTTTCAACGTGACTGACGAGTTTAAATCTGCTGGAGAGTAACCATCTCTGAGCCATGGAACAATTGACGGCATTCTCATCATTAAAACAGAAGCGGCCATTGCGAACTTAAAATACCCGCAAAGTGAGAACCTAGCATAAAGGGTGGTATATCGGTGATAGCGAGACTTGGTCACATCTTTGGAAATCCCTCACACCATCAGAGAACAGCTAGTGATCCTGGGACAATAAATGACACTGATGGAGGATGGGGACATTGCCGAGTGGGTCATCCTAGGGAGGTTTGTCAATATTAAAGAAGA